CTCTCCACCCCCTCCCTGCCGCTGCTCCCCGGGCTTTTGCCCATAATCGCGTTTTCTCCCATCAACGGGGAGCCCGGGACCCCCCCTCAGGTCCCGCAGCACCCCAGGGTGCAGCAGCACCCAGCCTGCCTGCACCCAGCTCCGAGGGGCCTACTGGGGCTGAACGTGGGAAGAGGGGACAGGGGTGCGCGGGCAGGACTGGCCACGTGCTGCACACGCGTGTGCAATGCATGTACACGCGCGTGCGAGCACACACGGTCACCCGCCCGCGCCTGCGCGCGCCCACGCCTGCATACGTGCAGCAAGACGTGCACACGTACATGCACTTGCATGCACACGCGCACGTGTGCACACACCGACAGGCGTGCACACACGCACACGTACACGTACACACGCACGGACAGCAGTGCGCGCGTGCAAGCGTGCACATAAACACGGGCAGGCAGGCATGCGGGCATGCGTGCAGGCAGGAACGCACGCACGCCTGCACGTGCACATGTGCACATACATGCACAAACACGCGTGCAGGCGGGAAACACGTGTGCGTGCTGAGCACGTATGCACCCCACCAGGCACGTCACTGCACAACATTAAGCACATGCGCGTGTCTCTGAGCACATGTGTGCACACCAAAGCTGTGCGTGCACTCGCCAGGTACGTGCATGCATGCTCAGCAGGCGTGTGCACGCTTAGCAAGGCGCATGCATGCTCAGCAGGAGTGTGCATGCTCAGCAAGGCGTGTGTGTGCTCAGCAGTTGTGTGCACACTCAGCAAAGCATGTGCACGCTCAGCAAGGTGTGTGCACGCTCAGCAGTTGTGTGCATGCTAAGCAGTTGTGTGCACGCTCAGCAAGGCGTGTGTGTGCTCAGCAGTTGTGTGCACGCTCAGCAATTGTGTGCGTGCTCAGCAAGGCGTGTGCGCGCTCAGCCGTTGTGTGCACACTCAGCAAGGCGTGTGTGTGCTCAGCAGTTGTGTGCACGCTCAGCAGGCGTGTGCACTGCCAGGCGTGTGCGTGCACGCTGCGCACGGGCGCGCACCATCAACCAGGTGTGCAGGCACCAAGCACGCATGTGCACATGCAGCGCACGCCTGTGTGCCAAGCACACATGTGCACACGCGTGCAAGGCGCCTGGCCATTTCAGCAATCCTGAACCCCCCCTTTCCCGGAGAGGCAGCTCCAAGGGGGGGGACGCATGAGCCCCCCGTGCAGCCCAAAGCA